GTTACATCATATTCTATAAGGATGTTATGTGTTTGTAGACTTTCTGCCCAGTTTGACCCATTTAGCAGAAGTCAGCCTGTTTAAGGCTCTGATGATATCTATTCTGTGTGACTTAAAGCAGTTATGACATGGTCTGATTTTCTCACCCAATAAAGGAATATTTAATATATCAGTCTACTCTTCATTTGATCAGCAACAGTTATCCCAGCTCATAAATTTTCTTTTTATACATATATGTAAGCATTCAGACAGATTTAGTAATGCCAACATATTAAAAGAACAATATTTGTCTCTTATGTATAATACATCACTGTAAAAGATGCTTGTCTTTGAGTGAAGATATAAAGTGATAGAAAATATAAATAAATGCAGCTTAAATCTTTCCTGAAGCTCAGTATTTGAAACAGAGTTCAAGCTCACAGCTGTAATAAATTATAATTAATATAATAATAAATATAACATTGGCCATATTGTATTTACATTACCAAAGTGAGATGGCACCAGTCTCATGTGCAACATTAGCTAATTGTTATTTAATAGCTAATCTTAAAATTACAGTTGGATACAGAAATGAAGGCCAACAATCATGTTTCTACAGTCCCGTGGTCTCAGCCTCAGATACTCAACAAATCAAAACATCTCATAAAAGAAAACAAACGAACAAAAAACATTTTATTTCCTCAATTTCTGTCAAACAATTCCGTATGGAACGTTTCCATCGGTCGGTATCATGGTTGCTAGGCAACCTGAGCAGCACCACGAAGGCCAGACCGTCCCATTTCACAAGCCTCTCACTTCCGCCCCTCTCGCACTTCGGAGTACCCGCCCGTAGTCCGCGAAGTGCGTGTACTCCGAAGCGTGCGGTCACTGAATTAGGACACACCTGAAGGCATATTTCTTTTTGCACGAGTTCAAAACGAAAGTGGAAGTAAGTCTGTTCCACTGCACTGTGAAGAGGGGACAATGGGGAATAAATGTGCTGTAAAACGGCAGACGGGGTTTCCAAAACAGTAAATATTATCAGATCAGTGACTTGTTAGATATCCAAGTAAACATAATCATATGACATGTAGCTGTTATTAATAAAAAGGGATAATCTTTTATTATGTTGTTTCCCACTTCACACCCAGAGATGGTACGAACTGATCAAGCGATGACATTCAAATTTTTGTTTTTCATTTGGCGGCATACAGGCAACATGGCAGCGCGTGAAATCACACTGATCTTTTCTTTACTGGCGATCTTTTCAAAAGGTGAGCGAGATACTCTGTTTTGTTATGACTTTAATGTGAGTTGATTTGTAGAGGTCAGTTTGCTCTATGGGGAGCTTATAAAGTGAAGTGCATTTCACTGCAGACAGGAGTTAAAGTTGGTTTGGCAGGTAGTTTTTTATACAGTACCAGATATGGTTAGTAGATAAGATGGAATTTGACACTATGAACATCATCAGCTTAAATTCAAGTCGCTGACTCCTTTTAGAAGCAAATGCTCTTAGTGAGCAGGCACACTGGGGGATATTTCATGCAAAGTAATAACATCGAGTCAAATTTGATGGAAAAAATAATAAAACACTTAAAAATTTGCTGACTTTGCACACAAAGCTTTATCAAGTTTTATCCCTGGAAGTATAACAATATGTTTGCTGTTTGAAAATCACTGCCATCCTACAGGTGGGAGGGGCCTAACAACAGCCCCATCCTGGCTGCCAATCAGAAGTGATTTCTTTGGTTTTATTTTCAGTTTTTCAAATGTGCTCTCTGTTCTACAAAAGTAAAA